TTCCTTTATGATTGTAATTAACATTAACTATACGTGCCTTTTGCACTTCCCCTTCATGGAGTATCTTCAGTGATTTTAAAAGGTTTAATGTAAGTTTAGATAGAAATGTTTTAAGTATGAAATTTTACTACATGAGATTTAAATTTCAGATAGTCATTAGTATAAAATAAATTTTTAAACTGCTGACTTTATTCTGTTAAAGGATGCTGTGTCCTTTCCAATTAAAGGCTAAGAATCTAGCCATGGTATTTTTATCCAAAGGCATGACTAGGTTTCTAGACAAAGTATGACTTGTCATACCCTTTCACTGATCAAAGCAAAGCTCAAAAACAAATGGGGAATGAGAAAGGGAGTAAAAAAAACTTTAAATGAATCTGTTTGTGAATTCTTTCATTAGGCTAATTGCGTGTTCTGTGGTGAAACACCACATTACCGTGTACTGAGTGCCTACTATACAGGCTGGGCAGCATTTCAGATATCAAGGGACAGAGCAGGAAAAAACTTCTTGAAGTTCAATTCCAGTGGGGGAGGACACACAAAATGAGTACATTGTCACATATGGGTTCTGGATTTTTAAGCCTACCTTTTATAAAATCAAGAGATACTTACACTTTATCACTGTAACCATTCAGATTCACTGACTGCATACACCAGAAAGCAATTCCAGAAAATGGGGTTTACTGAAAGCATTAACTCAGAAAAACCTGGCTAGTCAGGTTCTGAAAGAAAGCAAACACAGAAGTTGTATGGATCAAGAATACCCCTGCCTACCAAATTAAGTTTGTTCCTGGAACCTGTTTCAACAACTTGTGGTCAAATACAGTCCCACCTCTCTTATTTCTCCAATGAACAGCTGGATTCATATTAATCAGGACTTCCACTAATTTTATTTATAGATAGGTAAGTAAGTAGATATGAATGGCAGAAGGAAGATTATAAACCCTGAGGCAGAGTAATCTACAAAGAACAGTTACTCATACAGTTTTCTTCACTGCCACATGATAGGGTTGTTCAAGTTTGCTCTGAATAAACAATAGTCATTGACTGCATTGTGATAAGCAGCAGGTCTAGACCCCAGCTACAAATTTTGTGGACTGTTTTAGTTTATATTTGCACAACCATTTATTGTTCCTCCAAGATCAGCTGCCACACTCGAGTGGCTGGGTCTGCAGAAGTCGCAGAATCAACTGGCACACAGAAACATTCTAAAGAATTCTAAAGCCTCTACATTCCATATGTGGCCTGTATTTTAACTTAACCCATTTTTAAAATTTTTCTTAATTATTCAATTACAGCCCACATTCAATATATTAGTTGCAGTCGTATTGCATAGTGGTTAGACACATAACTTACAGAGTGACTCCCTGATAATAAGTCTAGTACCCATCTCACAACAGCTCAACTCCTTCCTGCCAAAAGCCTTCACTACTCCGACCAATCAGTGATGTTTCTCCTCTCTAAAGAACACCAGTAATATACCAGTCATTTCACACTGCTGGAAAATACAATCCTGGCAGGTTAAATACCTCACTCAAAAATCATACAACTAGCCAATGGCAAAGGCTGGACTATAATCCTGACCATCATTTCAATCCCCAAGGTTATTTGTTCTTCCAATCTCCTCTAAAATTTCCTATACTGATCTGACCACAACCCCCCTTCACATTTAAAAATTTCCCACAGACTATGAACACCGAAATATTTTATCCGGTCAACCTATCCTTCCCATCACAGGTCAAGTGCAATCTTATCCAATCAAATTTCTTTTTGACAGTTCTAACTCATATTGATTTTCCTCTTTTCCAGATTTACTCCATTTTAATCAAAATCACACAGTGTAGTGTCTTTTTACTCTGCATATATTATTTCAATCCCCCAAACAACTTGAAAAGAATATGTGTATTTCCCCTATTTTATGAATGATCCTAGATATTAATTTGCTTATGGTTACACAATCATTCCAGTAGCGGTGCCAGAAAGGGCTGCATTTTAAAACTATGTCACTATCTCCCAAGTCCACGCTGTTTAAATACAGTATACTATAATTTCTTCCTTCTCAACACACACACACAGAAAACTATGTGGAGATTACAGGAAAGCAATTCTTTATAACTAGAATTCAGGACTCATTCTTGACTCTTGGTTCAGAATTCTTTCAATTATAACCTACAGACTTTTCCTGTTACAGTAGTCCATCCTTTTCATCCCTTTAAAAACAAAGTTAACATAATTTGAATCTGTCCTGAGGAAACAAACCCAAACTGAGAAACTTTCTTTAAAACTGTCGATGTGAATGTTATAAAACACAAAGGAAGGCTAAGAAACTGTGCCAGAATATTCATGCATGACTGAATCCCATAGTAGGGCAAAACAATTGCTAGCAATGTCATCAGGAGAACTGGCAAAAGTTCAAATATAGGATATATTAAATAATAGTGTTGTATCAGTATTGTGACAATGCAGAATACAGTGGTGCCTCAGTACTCATCGTTAATTCATCTGACAAGTGCCGAGAAGGGGATGATTGATAAAGCATTTTCTCTTGCGAGTGGCGGCGTGACTCACAAGTTCCAGCAAGTGCGATGAGTGGCGAGCCAGCACCAAATGCTGAAACATTTTTTCTCCTCAAAATGTAACGAGTGCCAGATTTGACAAATTCTGAAACCAACAAGTACCGAGGTACCACCGTATACCTACATTTGATCACTACACTTAGGTTAGGTAACAGAATGTCCTCGTTCTTGAGAGATACAAGTACTGGGTTGGCCAAAAAGTTCATTTAGTTTTTTCCATAAGATGGCTCTAGTAGAGCTTAGTTTTCTTTAACTTCATTTGAAACAATTTTGTTAGATTGTATTGTGACAGCTGTCATATCAGTGTGCATTTAAAAAAAACTGTTGACTTTTTGTGTAGCCATTTTAAAATTGAACATGGAAGAAAATAGGCAACATTTCTGGCATATTATGATTATTTCAAGGAAAGTAAAAACGCAACTGAAATGCAAAAAAAGATTTGTGCAGCGCTTAGAGGAGGTCCTGTGACTGATTGAGCATATCTGAAGTGGCTTTTGAAGTTTTGTGCTGGAGATTTCTCGCTGGGCAATGCTCCATGGTCGGGCATACCAGTTGAAATTGAAGCAATCAAATGAGACATTAACTGAGAACAATCAACCTTCAACCATGCAGGAGACAGCTTACATACTGAAAACATGCAAATCAATAAAGTTATTGGTAAAAATGAAAAATGTGTCTTTTATTTTATGGAGAAAACCATATGGACTTCTTGGCCAACCCAATATTTAGAGGTAAAGGATACTGATGTGCACAATTTATTCTCAAATGGCTCAGCTACAATAATGACAAGATAAAAGATAATAGTGATAAAAGAGAGGTTAATACTAATGTAAAGCAAATGTGCAAAAAATGCTAAAAATTGGTGAATCTATGTAAAAGGTATGTGAGAGTTCAAATTTACAGAAAAAAACTGAAAAAATATATTGTTGAAAGAGGAATGGATAGGCATATAGATCAGAAAGTGCCAGACAGTAAATATTTAAGCTTTGAAGGCCATTAAAATCCCTGCCACAACTACTCAGTATTCGGTGTTGCTACTGTGGCACAAAGACAGCTGACAGACAATAATATAAACCAACGGACCAGATATGTTCCGATAAAACTTTATGTACAAAAGGCAGGCCCTAGTTTGCCGACCCATGGTGCTACCATGCTTGTTGGCAGTGTATTGATAACCACACTGGGAACATGAAATATTTCTATTATTCTTTACATACTTTGAAATTTTTCATGAAGTTTAAAAGTAAAACCTTTCACTGGGAAATCTTCCTGTATGTCACTTTTCCCTTCCAGAAAATATCCCAATTTGACTTTACACATCGTTCTTAGTCCAATTATTATCCTCCCTTCCAAACAATGTGCAATTTTTTTCAACAAGACTCAATTTACTTAGCTAGCATGCTACATGCATTAACTTTCTCTTTAAACTCCCTGAGGAAAAGGGTCTTATCTGGGGATGTGAATAAATTTGGTGGACTAACATTATGATGTAGCAAATTTCATCATTGGCTCTGAACTCAAGTCTGTCTTGGGCACATGGGAAATGAAACTTTCCCAACTCCACTGAGCCTGTTTGTTGTGAGGTAAAAAGAAGACAAGCCAGCTTTTTTACTGTATCATGCTTTTAGATTTTACAAGGTTTTCCTTAACTAAAGAAGTAAAATAAATCGACATAGTAACTAATTTAAGAACCACAGATTACTGGAAACCTAGAATAAGATAAGGCTTAAGGGCATTACAATACAAGAAGAACCCTCATCCCCATCCCACAGATGAAGAAATGAGGGTAATTCTAACATTCCAATTAATATGAAGACAAAACCATAACATGCATTAAAAAACACTATAGTATTAGTAAGAAAGTTTTATTCTTTTAGAACCTATAACTATAGTGTATCTGTCCATGTTGACAGGTTCACCAAAAGTCCGCTTCTAACAACTGTCAAATTTAGTTATTCCACACTATTGTGTCTACTAAGTAAAATACATTCTCTTAGGTACTCTGGGGTATACAACAATTCAAGTATTTCCTCCTCCTCTGAAGTAAGATATATAAAGACAGGTAACTGCTATATAAGACAAATGTGAACACTATAAGCCTGTGTCAAAGCATCTAGGAATGCAGGTAAGACTATTACTCCAGGTTGGGGTAATACAAGTGAGATGATAAAACAATGACAACAACAGGTACCCTGAAAAGTGCAAACTACTGCCCCAAAGCCCTTACTATTGTTAGGAGATCTGCCTCTACACAGGTGTCCATATTGTCTCCACACTGTCTAATTTGAACTCTTGTATACTTAAAGACAAGATCTCTTAAAGACAAGACCTGAAATATTAGGATCTAAAATACAGCAACCTCACCAACAGTGAAGTCACATTACTGGAAATTCAGTTTCGCTGAGCTAGCTTTCACGCAGCTATTACCGTCAAGTTTGAGAAAAAGCAGAGCTCTTGGATCAATGACTTCTGGCTGGCACAGCTAAATTGGGCAGTTGCAAAGAACAACAGGTTCTTTAAATAGTGGTAATAGCTGCAAAACAAAGCACAGGTTATCATCTTATGTGCAGAAAGGACTGATGGTCATATATCTTTCTTTTCCAGCTTATTCACAAATACCAAAAAATTACTGTTAACAATGTCTTGTCTTCCAATTCCAGTAGCATTTATATACAGTACAGACAATTCTAATCAAATGAACCCCTCTCTAAATTTAAAGAATAGGGCCAAGCCAAGTGAGCCCTAGGAAAACATACTACCATGCAGTATTTCCCCACATTCCATCCTGCACTGCACATACATGTCTTAATATCTGTGAGACAACTGTAAACTTTTAGGAAGTTCCGGTAGGGTCATGGATAAAAAAACCTGTGAAGAGTAGCAATCTTTACATGGTCCATTCAAAACCAGGCAAAAGGAAAGAATACCTTCATCATAAACTTTAATAATTTGTAATGTATAGTAACTTCAGGGAAAAACTCATACACATTAAAAACAACATTTTTACCTTTAGCACAAAGGAATACACATATTTTAAAAAATTAATTTAAGCCTTAAATAGTTTATAAAGACATCTTCACTTTGATTTGCACCAATTACCGATTGAGGCAATAACATCACAAAAAGAAAGCTTTTGTTTGAAGCCAACTGTTCTCAACAAGACCTAGGCTAAACTGAAAATGAGATTTTTAGAATACTCTTTTTTCTTAAAGATTTTATTTATTTATTTTTAGAGAAAGAGGAAGGGAGGGAGAAAATGAGGGAGAGAAACATCAACGTGTGGTCACCTCTCACACACCCCCTACTGGGAATCTGGCCTGCAACCCAGGCATGTGTCCTGACTAGGAATCGAACCTGTGACCCTTTGCTTCCAGGCCAGCACTCAGGCCATTCAGCCACACCAGCCAAGGCTTGAATAGTCTTAAAATGAGGAAAAGCCCCTAAAACTGAGCAAACAAGAGATATATGTATATTTAAAACCTGAAACATGCTAAGCTCAGAAGTTTTTCCCTACTCTATCTCACTTTAAAGAAATAGGAAATCAAATTATTTCTTTCACGTTCCCAAATCTACTTTGAGCAATATACTTTGAGAGCCTTATAAGCAAAACGTCCTCAAATTATTCTGTCTAAATGCTAGGGATTTAAATTTATTTGCCTCAATTCAGGTTTCTTCCAAACCTGAGAACGCGTAATTGTAAGGTACACCCTGCACAAAAGTACAAATATGCAGTGGTACATTTTCTCCTTTAAATAATATATTCTTTTGAAAACTTGTTTACAAAGTACATAATTTCCTGAATCAAGTAAGGGTAACTTTTAGGTTTTCCTGAAAGGATGACCATGAAATTTTATTTATACTATCACAATTTATATGTTCCTGAAATTTATGCAAGCATTCTTTAATCCACAATCTACAAAACACAGCCATGCGCAGATGTAATACTAGACTAATACTTCAATTTTTTAGTTTTCACCAAGTTTCACTTACTACAGTGCCTCATCCCCACTGCTGACTGTGTTCTCCAATGAAGTTAGAGAAGCCAAAAAGAAAAGAACTAACTCATGCAATGGGACCAGTTTTCAGGATAATACATAATAATGTTAGCTAAACAAAAACTTAAGTACTCCTCTCTTTTTTAAGATTTTATTTATTATTTTAAGACAGAGGGGTAGAGAGGGAGAGAAAAATCAATGTGTGGTTGCCATTCATGCACCCCCTGTTGGGGACCTGGCACACAACCCAGGAAAGTGCCCTGACTGGGAATAGAACCAGCAACCCTTTGGCACTCAATCCACTGAGCCACACCAGCAAGGGCAAAAACTGGAGTACTTCTATGACTTAATCCTTCAAGATAAGAACCTCCTACTTGCACTCATTTTCCGCTACTTGACAAAAGTCTGGAAAAGTATGAATCCTGAAGAGAAAACTCTTCACAAACATTAAAGCAAATTAGAATAGGAGAAAAGAAACCCTTCACTCCTTAGTTTTATGCAGAAACCCATTCTGTAATAACAAACCCATTCTTTTAATGACAAAATGATTCAACCTCTGCTTGAGCTCCTCCAATGATGAGTGTTTTCATGGGAGGGGAACCATTTCACTAAATTATTAGCTCTAATTGTTTCAGTTCTCTCTTTTCTAGGATTCAAATGTTAACTTCTACTTAGGGCCCCTAGAGCTACACAAAACAAACTTAACCTCTGTCCCAAATGAAAATCTTTAGATACTGCAATGACTTTCTCCCAGTCTTTCCCAACTATTCTATTTCCCATTTTAAAAATGTGTGATGTAACAATGACAAACTTGCTCCAGTTTGTGTTCTCCTGAAGATATTACTCCTGACATAGCTCACAGTGCTTTATTCACAGCCATTATTATTAAATACTCAATTTTTCTTATTTTTGACAACAGGGTGGGGGTAGTCGGTAAAATTCAAAATCTCTTCAACCACTAACAATATCTAGAAAGTATAGATACAAAAACTCATTAAAATCTCTCACTGTAACAAAGGGTGCTGGGACAACTGGATATCCACATGCAAAAGAAAAAGGTTAGAACCCTATTCATTCCATATAAAAATAATAATTCAAAATGGTTCACAGACCTAAGTGACTTTGGATTAAACAATGTTTTCCTAGATATGAGATGATTCCTAGATATGGTCGGGGTGCTGCTAAACATCTTCCAATGCATAAGACATCCCCACAGCAAAAAATTATTTGACTGAAATGTCAATAACACCAAGAAACTTTGCAAACTACTTTTGATATGTTCAATCCATCACAGCACCTTCTCCATATACTGCACAAATCTTTTTTTGTGTTTTGGTTGCATTCTAACCTTTCTTGAAATAATAAAGCATAATACACTGAGAAGGCATATTTTCTTCCATCTTCAATGTTAAAATGGCTGCAGAAAATTCACCAATTTCCATAAATTTTTTTAAATGCACACTGATATGACAGCTGTCACAATATAATCCAACGAGATTGTTTTAAATGAAGTTAAAGACAACTAAACACTATTAGAGCCATCATACAGAAAAAACTAAACAAACTTTTTGGACAACCCAGTAACTCCGATGAACCAAATTTTTCACTTGTATTACCCATAAGAAAGTGATTTGCCAGCTTGTAATAAGTTTAATAGGTGGCAACAGCTGGACAAATTTTCACATTCCTTAAGGTTCTTAGCCCAGGCTCTCCAAAAGTACTGCAGATGTGTTCAGTAAATAATTAGAATCAGTATCTTTGACTGTATCACTGGAAAAAAGAAAGCAGTTAAGTAGGTCAAGCTTTTATACAGAAATAATGTCAAAAGAAAATCCTTTTAAAATGGATAATATACTAAGTTACACTATTTAACAATTTAGGTACAGGTTCAGGAATAAGAACATTGAATTGGGACACTTAAAACCTACCTTCAACACTGACTTACAATATAACCCCTCAAGTTAGTCAACCAACCTACTCTGCTCAAAAAATTCATTCACTATTCCAAATTAGGCCACTTGCTTTTAAAGGTTAATCTGCCACAGAAATATTACAAGCATCATAGATAGGACCTGCTGCCCAAGTATTAATTATTCCCATGTTTTTATTTATATTAAAACTATGTTTTATGGCATGTAACAACCACACCACCACCAGACCAATATAAAAAGCCTCAACTTGTACATCTAGTTCCTACCAATTTCCTTGAAAGGAAGAATCACCCTTTTGTGGTATTTCCAACATTACAGAACACAGCAAAGAATTCAACAACACTTTTAAAATGGTTGAAGTTATCTGAAATTTTCCATATCATGAACTATAATCCTTCTATGATATTTCTACATAACTCCATTATGTCATCTTTCATCTGCCTGCCTACCCTTGGTGAACTGTGAACTCCTTCAAGGAAAAAAAGGGAGAGGAACCTAGCCTTATTTATACCCCAATACCTGACAGTACCTAATATGTAGTGGGTGCTCAAAAAATAAACTATTGTTGACTTGCATGATCTTACACACTCTTCTTCTGATAGGCTCATGAGACTACTAGTATCTCCATTTGGTAATTTAGGGAAGTAATGAGACCCACAGCAGCTCAAGGAACTCAAGTCATAAATACAAGAAAAACATTTCATATTTGGAACTCTAGTTAACCTATGGTGGAATCCAAGGTCATTAAAGACCATAAAGGGATTTCTGAAAATGAGGTCAATTTAAGATGTTTCCGGGGATTTTTTTGTTGTTATTGTTTAAACACACACAGGCAATCCTCATTATTTTGAACAGTAGATAGGACAACAAAATGATCAAGCAAAATGACCTTAACCAGTTGGAACTTTTCCATACTTTAAAACTGGCAAAACATTAAAAACTGCAAGTTAAAAGTGTGTAAGAAAGTAAAAATATAGTAAAACTAATATAGAAATGGGAACCCTTGTGAACTAAAGGGCTTTCCTTCTCTGTAAATAACTTATCCAGTAATTTGAACAGCACTTGTCTCCTCTAGTGGTGTAACTTATGCTACAGAGTGATCATCTTTTATATTTTATACATCTTGGGGAATTGTCACACTCTGAAGTTGGAACCGGCTTCTAAGATTTTTATCCCTTGCACTTTCAGTGTCATAAAATATCTCCGTGACAGTTCCATTAGTGTGAAGTTTTCTGCCAGAGTCACTTCCTCTGGGACATTATTATCCTTTTCATCACACCACTTTCCTCATTTGTCCCTAAAGTTTGCCTTCATTAAGCTCCTCTGAGTGCATATATAGAGTCTCTTGAAAAGTGGCAATGAGAACATTCTATTCTTCTAGAACTCCATTTACATTTTTATTCAAATTTCACTTTCAGAATCATCACTTTTAATTTCTCTATTGCACTTTCACTTCTACTGACACTAAGGTGTAGTTTAATAAAAGTTATGTGATGCTCAGAAGACAGTAGGCCTATTGAGAAAACAACTAATATAATGAAGGAAGTTTTTAATGGACATAAATATTAATCAGATTATCTACTTTTTTAAATCTTCATGCAGGAACC